TTTAAGACAGAGAGGAAGGGAGAGAGGGGGAGAGAGAGAGAGAGAGAGAAAGAGGAACCTTGATGTGAGAGAGAAACATTGATGGGTTGCCTCCCATATGCCCCTGACTGGGGAATGAACCCACAATCTTTTTGGTGCTCCAACCAACTGAACCATCTGGCCATGGAAGCATAAAATTAAAAAAAATATATTTCCAGGTTACTGAAGTAATAATGATTGTTTAGCTATGTTTATTACATTTTCTCTTGTGATTATATTATATTTTTAAAGTTTATTTTTTCCTCTTTAACTTTCCTTAGACAAAAGAGAAATGTTTTTGCACATCTTTTGACCAATGTTCATCTTTCTAGTAAAGTTTTTGAGTCACATATAAGTTAAAATTTTATTTATATTTAAAATAGAATATAGTGCCATTTACAGTTTCCTAAGTGGAGTTCCTGTTTTTCAAAGCTTCAATTGAAAGTTTTTATTTTCATTGGGGAATTCACTCCTATGTGGTTAAGCAGAGTATGTAGTGATTACATGAAAAATGCATTTTATTTCACTTGATACATCTTTATGTATCATTCAACATTATTTATTTGGAAAACTTTGAATAGGACTATTTTTTGAAATAGTTGAAAATAAAATATCTAGATAGCATACTATAAATATTTATATATATATATATATATATATATACACACACACACACATATATACATATAAGAAAGGAGATTACATGGATATGGACCTCAGAAGTCAAATTTCTCAGACAATATTAACTTTCAATCACAAAAACATACATTGATAGAACATTGTCACATATATGTTAGCAGTTGTTTTCTCCACCAATTGAAAATAGGCTGCAGCATTGTGAATTTAGCAATTTAGCTGTTTTTGATAGTAGGATGTAAAGAACAGATTGAAAGTTCAAAAGCATCAACTTTATCTATTAGAAAGCAGCATTACTGGAGTTTACTTGATGTTCCTCTGACAGATAAATTCTTTTCAACTTGGTGTTTCAAACAGTAGATTTGAGAACTTGTAGCCATTTTTCATGAGAGTTTACCAAGTTAAAAAGTGCTGGGAATATCACAGATGGAACATTGTAGTGAGAATTGCCTGTGATGTCATAGACCCTTGAGGGAAACTTCTAGAAGTGAGATTTAGTCATACTAGAGACTAAATAAGAAAGATACTTACTGAGTAATGTGGGGTCCAACAAGAGTGTAATGCAGAATTTAGTAATTTATAAATTACTTTTGTTCTGAAAGAACTCAACAGAATAACACTTAATGAAGGAACACTTAACCATCTGGTATATTGTGATTCTTGAGGATAAGTAAATTTGAAATTCACCAGTTTTAAATATGGAAGGAAGTGATGAACCTGATCAGCCTATCTCAGCAGGGAGGCAAGAAATTCGAAAGAGAAGAAGAGCCAGTCAACCAATGGTAGACAAATCCCAACAGACTGAAGTGACAGAGAAAAAGAAACACTTACCCATACCACAATCATGTGGTCCCAAAGCTACCCATAATATTAGTAGTATTCCTGGAAGCAAAGTCAACTATGAATCTCTTAAAGTATCTTCTCAGCTTCAGCAAACTTGGACAAAGAGGAAGCATGTGCAAGATAAGACTGATAAATCTTTGCAGACAGACCCTCCTGAAGAAGAGAAGAAAGGAATCAAGCCCGTTGGTGCAGCAGTGGTGCCTGAAGAAAAGCCAGCTGCTGTTGAAGAAGCAGTTCCTGAATTTCCAGAGAGTGTTCATGAAGTAGAAATTCCACCAAGCAAACACTCAGCTCAACTCAAATTAGACAAACCTGAGCAAACCAGTAGTGTTGGAGACAGGACAATGATGAATATTCCTCAAATGGAAAAAGCAGACAAAGAACAGCAGAGACACTTAGGTGAATCAGAAATGGTTATTGGTAGGCCAAGTTCTTTTTCAAAGTCAAAAGAGGGTGTGCAGAAACATAAATCCGCAGGGAATATTTTCATTACTGAACATCCTGAATTTAAACCCCATACAAGTAGCAATGAAGAAATTGGGCAGAAAAGTATCAACAGATCTTCATTTAATCAACAAATGAAAAAAGGTACTCCAGTACTTTTAGATGAGCACGACTTTCCAATTGAAGTACAGCCTCCCAGGGTAGAAAAGATCTCTGCTGAAGTGAAACCTCCACCAGCTGAGAAGGCTACTGCAGAAAACGCCCCTGATAAACTTCAGTCTCCAACAGCTGAGGAAGCTTCTGCAGAAAAGGCCCCTGCTAAAGTAGAGCCTACTCCTGCTGAAGAGGCTCTTTCAGAAGAACCTCCCTCTGAAGTTCAGCCTCCAATAGCTGAAAAGGCTCCTGTTGAAATACAGCCTTCCACAGTTGAAGAAGCTTCTACAGAGGAGGCCCCTGATGAAGTTCAGTCTCTACCAGCTGAGGAAGTCCCTGCAGAAGTCTCTGCTAAACTAGCACCTAGTCCTGCTGAAGAAGCTCTTTCAAAAGAGTCTTCTGTTGCTGTTGAGCCTCTATCAACTGAAGAGGCTCCTACACAAGAAGTGACAGAATTTCAATTTCTGCTACCTGTCAGGGCCCCTGCAGAACAGTTCCCATCTAAACTTCAGCTTCAATCAGCTGTGGAGTCTCCTTCGGAGGAGACCACAGCAGGAGAGGCCCCTGTTGAAGGTGAATCTCCAGTAGCTGAGGAGGCCCCTGCAGAAGAGGCACCAACTAAACTACAGCCTTCACCAGCTGAGGAGGCCTCTGCGAAAGAGACCCCAGCTGAAGTTCAGTCTCCACCAGCTGAGGAGTTCCCTGAAAAAGAGACCCCAGCTGAAGTTCAGTCTCCACCAGTTGAGGAGTTCCCTGAAGAAGAGGCCCCAGCCAAAGTACAGCCTCCACCAGCTGAGGAGTTCCCTGTGGAAGAGGCCCCAGCTAAAGTACAGCCTCCACCAGCTGAGGAGTTCCCTGTGGAAGAGGCCCCAGCTAAAGTACAGTCTCCACCAGCTGAGGAGTTCCCTGTGGAAGAGGCCCCAGCTAAAGTACAGTCTCCACCAGCTGAGGAGTTCCCTGCAGAAGAGGCCCCAGCTAAAGTACAGTCTCCACCAGCTGAGGAGTTCCCCGTGGAAGAGGCCCCAGCTAAAGTACAGTCTCCACCAGCTGAGGAGACTTCTGCACAGGAGGTCCCTGCTGAATTTCAGCTTACATCATCTGAAGAAACTACTTCAGAAATGATCCCTTTTGACAAACAGCATCCATCATCTGAAGAGTCCACAATTCCACTTATCTCTATAAAATACTCTACTGAAGAATTTCAGCTTCCACTATCTGAACAAACCCCTGCAGATGAGGCTCTGGTAGAGAATGTGTCTACTGAATATCAATCTTCCAGGAAAACAGATGTTTCAGTGGTAAAATCAGAATTACTGACTTTAAAAGATAAGCCAAAATCTGAAGCACCTTTAGTATTGGATTCTGTTTCTGAAGAGTTGTCTAATATCAAGAAATAATAAGTTTTTACTATTGAAATAGAGGGTGTCATCCATATAGAACTAAATAAAGGAGGGGCCTCTTTCAAAGCTGTAGTAAGATTGTAACTAAGCTAGCTGTCAGAGACTAGGGGGTTCTGGAAGTATGTATTTTACAAAAGGGTAGTCATTTGGAAGTAGCTTTGTGAATAGAGAAATGAGAGGAAACCCCCAAGACATGGACTACAGGTTGAAAAATAAACAATAAAAACAAGTGGTTTAAAATTACTTTTTATTTTCATTCAATCTAGAGTATATAAAATACCTATTTTGAAATAAAATAAGTTTATGATTGAAATAATTACTTAAAATATCCTTTTTAGATTAAAACCTGTTTACAAAGGTAAAGTATGCAGCCATATTTTCTTTTCTTTACATGTAACTTATAATGAAAAAGACATTTTCTTCGTTTCTCTCATCTTTAAATTCCTTGAGTTTGAGTCACATATCTAAAGCTATGTGGTATTTTGCTTTCTGCTTAGTATAATTCATCATATCTTGTATTCTCTTTCCAGTTGATTCATTCTGAGACAAACATTTCTATCCTGTTTTCACCCCTATGCATATTTTACATTTCAATGTCTTGATAGGGAAACTTATTTTCTTCAAAAAATCTTCATTTCAATAAAGATAACCATGGATGAAGTATTATAAAAGTTGTGTGAGCATTAAGAAAAATATACTTAGATTGCCTTGAGGGCATATTCCTATTTAGTTTTGATTTCATTTCAGGTTACAATGTGATGAGGCCTTTCAAAACTTGGCTTCTAGTTTTTGCACTCTGATCTTGTGACAAAAATAAACTGAGAATAAAGTTGAATTACTATTGTATAAGCTATTGACATTTTAAAAGAGTAATGATGAATTATTCTATTATTAAATGACACCTTCATTTCTATGATTATGGTAACTTTTTGGAAAATATTTTGTTTAGATACAACATTCTAGTTGCAATGTTCTGAAATGATGAGATGATTCTCATAAAAATTTTAGTTAGCTATGTATATTTCTTTGTTTAGTGAAAACCCTAGATTGATGATTTGATGATTCCAAACCTTATTAATCTTTGATGCCTTATAATTGTTAAATTTTTCTCTCATTCTTCACATTCTTCATTATCTCTGTAACCATGATCACGTGATATTTTAAAGTAAGTTGAGAATTTAACAAAATTTTTTGTAAGTACTGTTGTCCCTTGGTATACATGGGAGATTGATTCCAGCACCCTCCACAGATAACAAAATCCAAGAATGCTCAAGACCCTTATGCAAAATGATGTAGTACAATTTTTACAGCTGGCCCTCTATATCTGTGGATTCTGAACTACAGATTGAAAGTACTGTTTTTGATCATGGACAGTAAAATTTGCAGATGCAGAACCCATGAATATGGAGAGTTGAATATACGTTGTATTTTTATTTTAAATATGTGACCAGATTTGAGACTGAGAAACATTTTTCTAGACTAGAATGAGGGTTGCTTTTTTGATATTTTAAGTCTTTTTTATTTTATGTTTTTTGAGATATTTAAAATCCAGTTAAACTTATTTTTCTAAATTTGAAGTTTTTAAAAATAATTTTAGATATTCTATTATGGCTGCTTTTCTGTTTTTTAAAAAATGTTTTGGATCTGATTTTTTCCCCTCCAGCTTTATTGAGATATAATCGACTTATAACATTGTGTAATTTAAGGTGTACAATGTGATGATTTGATATATGTAACACTGTAAATTAATTGTCCCATTTGGGGTAATACATACATCACCTCACATAATTGCAGTTTTTGAGGTGGTGACATCATTTAAGATCTACTTTCTTAGCAACTTTCAAGTATATAATACAATATTTAATATATAATATACACTCACTATTTGGTACATCAGATGCCCAGAACTTATTCGTCTTATAACTGGTAGTTGTTCCCCTTAACCAACATCTACAATTTCTTCCACCCACTAACTCTTAGGAACTACCATTCTACTCTTTGTTTTTAATGAGTATGTAGATTCCACATATAAATGATATCATATAATATTTGTCTTTCTTTGTATGACTTATTTAACACAGTGCTCTGAAGGTCTATCCATGTTGTCATCAATGGCAGTATTTCCTTTTATTATCATCATTATTTTTGAACATTATACCATTGTGTATGTGTATGCCACATCCTTATCCATCTATCCATTTATGAACACTTAGGTTGTTTTCATACCTTAGTTATTATAATGCTGCAGTAAACAGGAAGCACAGATACCTCTTTAAGGTAATCATTTCATTTGGAGTGAAGTGAGATTGCTGGATCATATGGTAGTTCCATTTTTAATTTCTTGAGGAAACTTGNCACAGATACCTCTTTAAGGTAATCATTTCATTTGGAGTGAAGTGAGATTGCTGGATCATATGGTAGTTCCATTTTTAATTTCTTGAGGAAACAACACTATTTTCATAACGGCTGTACCAGTTTATATTCCCACTGATAGTTCCCAATTCTCCACATCCTCTCTAGCATCTGTTATAGTTGGTCTTTTTTGGTAATAAACATTCTAACGTGTGAGGTGATATCTCATTTTGGTTTTGATTTCCCTCATGATTAGTGACGTTGGGTTAATGTGTTTGTTTGTTTTTTCTGCTACAGAGTTGCATGAATTCCTTGTATATTTCAGATATTAACTCATTATCAGGTATGTGCTTTGCAAGTATTTTCTCCCATTTCACAGGTTGCCTTTTCATTTTGTTCGTGGTTTCTTTTGCTGTGCATAAGCTTAATTTATGTTGTCTTTGTTTTTGGTGTCAAATCCAAGGAAAAAATCATTCCCAATGTCAAGAAGTTTAACCCCTATTTTTTCTTTACTTTTATAGTTTCAGGTCTTATATTCAAGTCTTTAATCTATTTTTAGCTGATTTTTTTGTATAGTGTATGATAAGGTTCAGATCATTCTTTTGTGTGTGATTATCCAGTTTTCCCAGGGCTATTTATTGAGTAAACTATCTTTCCTACACTGTGTAGTTTTGGTATACATTTGTTAAAAATTAATCAATCATGTATTCATGGGTTTATTTCTGGGCTCTATATTCCACTGATCTATGTGTCCATTTTAATGTCAATAGCATACTATTTTCATTATTATAGCTTTGTAGTATAGTTTGAAATCAGAAACGTAATGCCTCCAACTTTGTTCTTCTTTCTCAAATTAGCTTTGTCTATTTGGAATATTCTGTGGGTCCATGTGAATTTTAGAATTGGCTTTTCTGTTTCTATAAAAATGCCATTGAAATTTTGATAGGCATTACATTCAGTCTGTAGATGGCTTTTGGTGATATGAACATTTTAAAAATAATAATTTTTCTAATTTGTGAAGATGGAATATCTTTTCATTTACTTGTGTTGTCTATAATTTGTTTCATCAATGGCTTATAGGTTTTAGTGTAGGGATCTTTATTCTCTTTGTTCATTTGTTCCTAAGTATTTCATTGTTTTTGATATTGTAAATGGGACCATTTCTTAATTTCCATTTTTAATAGTTTGTTGTTATTGTATAAAAACTGAAGTGAATTTTGTATGTTCATTTTGTATTCTCCAACTTTACTGCATTTGTTTATTCTAACAGATTTAGTGAAATTTTTAGAATTTTAAATGTGACATATTATGTCATTTGCAAACAGACAATTTTACTTCTTTCATTTCAATTTGGATGCCTTTTATATCTTTTTCTTGACTAATTACTCTGACTGGGAATTCCAGTAAGTACTATATTGAATAAAAGTAGAGAGGGTAGGAATTTCTTTTGTTTCTTTTTTTCTTTTATTAAATTTATTGGGGTGATATTGGTTAGTAAAATTATATAGTCTTAACGTATACAATTTTATAATATGTCATCTGTAAATTGTATTATGTGTTCACCACCCTAAGTTATGTCTCTTTCCATCCCCCCTTTATCCTCTTTTGCCTCCCCCAACCCCCATTTCCCTCTAGTAATGACCATACTGTTGTCTGTATCTATGAGGGTCTTTTTGCTTATTCCTTCAACCTTTCTCACTCAGCCTCCCTCACCTGTCCCCTCTTACAGCTATGAGTCTATTTCAATTTTGTTTGTTAGTTTATTTTGTTCATTAGATTTAACATAAGTGAGATCATGTGGTACTTGTCTTCTCTGACTGGCTTATTTCACTTAGCATAACACCCTCTAGGTCCATCAGTACTGCTTCAAAAGGTAAGATTTCCTTCTTTTTTACAACTGAGTATTATTCCATTGTGAAAATGTACCATGACTTTTTTTATCTGCTCATCTACTGATGGCACTTGGACTACTTCCAAATCTTGGCTATTGTAAATAATGCTGCAGTGTACATAGAGGTGCATATATTCTTTCAAATCAGTGTTTCAGGTTTCTTCAGATACATTTTCAGAAGAGGAATTGCTGGGTCATCAGGCAGTTCCATTTTTAATTTTTTTGAGGTAACTTTGTACTGCTTTCCACAGTGGCTGCACCAACCTGCATNCATCAGGCAGTTCCATTTTTAATTTTTTTGAGGTAACTTTGTACTGCTTTCCACAGTGGCTGAACCAACCTGCATTCTTACCCACAGTGTATGAGGGTTTCCTTTTCTCCACATCCTTGCCAACACTTGTTGTTTGTTGATTTATTGATGATAGCCATTCTGACAGATGTTTTTGACCTTAGAGTAAAAGCTTTCATTTTTTTCATTGTTAAGTATGATGTTAGCTGTGGGCTTATCATAGATGGCCTTTATTATTATTAGGAGCATTCCTTTCATACATAATTTGTTGAAAGTTTTTATCATGAAAGGATGTTGATTTTGTCCAGTGCTTTCTCTGCATCTACTGAGATGATCATATGATTAACAACTGCTTGTTTGCTGTAGTCTTCTAGGACTCTCGAATGCAAACCTTGTTGGCTTTCAGAGCTGAGAAATTTTGAGGTCCACCCTTCAGGGGGAAGCCTTAAAAGTTGGGCACTAGAT